TTTCAGAACATTTTCTTCTCATACTCATGGCTAGCTCCCCATTTCTAAGTCCCATCCACCCCCCTTTTTTAAGACCAGAGGACACCTGCCTTCCTTAGCTTATAGCAGTGGTTCTCAAACTTCCTAAGACTGCGACCCTTTAATACAGTTCCTCATGTTGTGGTGACCCTCAGCCATAAAATTATTTCTGTTGCTACTTCAGAACTGTAATTTTGCTACTGTTATGAATTGGACGAGCCCTGTGCAAAGGGGTCACGACCCACAGGTTGAGAACCGCTGGCTGACAGGGACATGATGAGCCTAAAGCAAAATGTCCCATGAAACATTTTTAAGGCATGATGTAGGACAGTTGACCCTTGAAAAGTGCAGTGTCTAGGGAAACCAACCTCCTTCACAGTTGAAAATTTGCATATAATTTTCAGTTGATCCTCAAACAACATGGGTTTATACTTCACAATCCAACTTGTATGTAGAGAGACAAACTACTGAGGCAAAGATGATTAGCATCACATGGCCTTTGTAAGTGTCTTTCCTCCCCCTCCCTGCCCCAGTTGAAATCCATGTTGTTCAAGGTTCAACTGTACTCTCTTGTTAATGTTTTCTCCTTGTCTTGGTTACAAGTCAATTGAACAGTCAATTGACTCAATTGACTCGCTACTATATACCAAGTCGTGATTTAGCAAGGGAAGAATTGGGAATGAAGAGGAATGACAAAGATGTATAGGAAGAGGCTGCTGTTGTTGTGATGGTACATATTGTTGTCGATGTATGTCTACCTGGGAGGGATAGGTGGGATAAACAAACCGGAAGAGAGAACAATGGGATGACAGTTCCAGGGGTCATGGGAGAGGGGGAGGTGGGGGAAAGGAAGTGGGTGTCAACAAACCCAGGGACAGAGAACAACCAGTGATCCAAAATTAGTGGCAAGGAAGTGTAGGAGGTCTGGCAGGGCTGGATCAAGGACAGTGTAACCCGAGAGGAATTCCTGAAATCCAAATGAAGGCTGAACATTATAGTGGGACAAGAGGAAAGTACAAAGAAATAGAGGAAAGAACTAGGAGACAAAGGGCATTTATTGAGATCTAAATACAGGCATATACAGATGTAAATATATATACAATGAGGGGGAAATAGATCTATATACATTTATTTATAGGTTTAGTATTAAGGAGACAGATGGACAGTGGGTCCCTATTTAAGTACTCCCTCAACACAAGAACACTTTGTTCTAACAATTCGGCAGTCTGAGATGCTCACCTTCCAGGCACGATTGCTGAAGACAACGGGTGCACAAGCAAATGTGGTGAAGAAAACTGATAGTGTCTGGCTATCAAAAGATATAGCAACTGGGGTCTTAAAGGCCTGAAGATAAACAAGTGACCATCTAGCTGAGAAACAACAAAACCCACATGGAAGGAGCACACCAACCTATCCCAACACGATCGCTGAAGACAAAGCGGGTATATAAGCAAATGTGGTGAATAAAGCTGATGGTGCCTGGCTATCAAAAGATATAGAGTCTGGGGTCCTATAGGCTTGAAGATAAACAAGCGGCCATCTAACTGAGAAGCACCAGCCTGTGAGATCACGAGGCATTGAAGGGATGAAGTATCAGGCAACAAAGACCAAAAAAACCATAGCATTGTGAATGAGGGGGAGTGTGAAGTGGGGACCCAGGGTCCATCTGTGGGCAATTGAAACATATAATTTTCCTCTAGTTCCTGAATGCTTCCTCCTCCCCACTATCAAGATTCTAATTCTACCTTACAAATCCGGCTGGACTAGAGGATGTACACAAGGATCAACATTTAACCTCTGCCTGGTGGATGGACAGCAGAGAAGTGGGTGAAGGGAGACATCGGATGGTGTAAGATATGACAAAAAAATAATAATTTATAAATTATCAAGGGTTCATGGGGGGGAGTGGGGAGGGAGGAGAAAAAAATGAGGAACTCATACCAAGGGCTCAAGTAGAAAGCAAATGTTTTGAGAATGATGAGGGAAACAAATGTACAAAAATGTTTGACACAATGGATATATGTGTGGATTGTGATAAGAGTTGTATGAGCCCCCAATAAAATGATTTTTAAAAACCCAAAAAAAAATGGATCAAAAAGAAAAAAAAGGTAAATCGATTTCTTTATTTAGCCAGACTATAGTTAAGTTTTTCACAAACAGTAACTGAAAAATCCTCTTTCTTTCTACTGAGTTCCTTCATTTCAGGGTGCGTTCGGCTTTGAGTAATGAATACCTGAATGACAAAGTAGTGTTAGGAAGTCACCTAACAAGAAGTCCAGAGGCAGACCCCTGGAAGGTGAATTATTCTTCAGATAGCGCAACAGTGTTGCCCCAAGGCCCACTCCTCTGTGCTTTGCTTGGCAGTCTTCTCATGGTTGAAATAGGACTGTGACAGGTAACAAAATCTAATGCCCTTCCCAGCAGACTTCCCTCACATTTCATTGGCTGGAAGAAAATCACATGCCCACTCCTAAACCACTCACTGAGCAACAGAAGTGAAACTAACATCATTTGATTTTTAACTAGTTCTTGGGACCCCATGGGGAAGGTTCTCTATTCCTGAAAAGCATAGTGAACAAATGAAGATTCTGTGAACTTGAAAGGGGGTGGGGCCTGGCCGTTGGGTAGTTGGAGATGGGATAGTTTACCAACAGTGTCTCCCACATGTCTCACTGCCATCAAGTCGAGTCTGACTCATAGTGACCCTATAGGACAGGGTAAAACTGCCCCTATGGGTTCCCAAGACTAAATGTTTGTGGGAGTAGAAGTCTTTATCTTTCTCCCTCAGAGTGGCTGCTGTTTTCGACCTGCTGTCCTTGCCATCAGCTGCTCAATGTGTAACCCACTGTACCACCAAGGCTCCTTTCTGCCACACGTACTATATTTTTTAATTGTTTTTACTGAAAGGAGGGGAAATGTAACCTACATCTGCATTCTTGATTAGCCGCATGTATCCAATCATTTTTTTTTTACAGAATGTCTACCTGATTTCCATCCAAAAAATTATTCTTAAAGCTGGACCTATGCAGGGTGCTTCTTCACTGATACTGTGTTTGTTTCTGTATTGTGAGTTTTGTGGTTGGGTAGTCACACTTCACTCACACAGTCACGAGGAAAATTGCTAAGGAGTTGTCATATCCAATTTACACTGCTTCGCTTGCCACCTCTTGTAGAACGTTTGACTGATTTAGAATTTGGGAGGTTTGTTCATACTGACTTAAGAGAAGTAAGAGGAGGGTGGACACAGGATTATTTAGGAGGCATTTTGGTGTTGCTGCGGTTAAAAGACGGAGCTGCTAACAGAAAGGTTGGCTCTTTGAACCCAACAACTACTCTATGAGAAACATGAGTCTGTCTGCTTCATGGAAACTTACAGCCTTGGCAGCCCTGCAAGGCAGCTCCACTCTGTCTTGAAGGGTCCCTCTGAGCTGGGATCAACCCAGCAACAATGGTTTGGGTTGGGTTTGCATTGTTATCAATGACTCTTTAACCCAGGTTAGTGAGCAAAATCCATTAGGGCAGGAGTCCACAAGACATATGACTTAGGATTTCCAACACTAGGGTAAGGGGTGTAATCAATAGCTTCAAGCCATTGGGGGTGGGGGTGGGGGGTGGGGAGAAGAAGAACATCTGCAATAAAATAGAATCAATCAACCATTCCCTAATTAATTAATTAATTCTCTCTCTCTCTCTCTCTCTCCCCCCCTCTCCCTCTCCCTCTCCCTCTCCCTCTCCCTCTCCCTCTCCCTCTCCCTCCCTTCTCCCACTCTCTCTTCCCTTCTCTTTCCCTCTCTGACCCTCTCTCCACCTCTTTCTCCCTCCCTCCCATATCTCAACCCTAATACAGTATATCATGGAGTTTTATTGGCTTTATTTTGCATATCATTTATTTGATTGATGGAACATTAACCATAATAAGGAAGCACATTTCAGTGATATAAATTCTACTAGGGACAATATAATTGATACTTAACATATATATTTCTAGGTTACTATCTGTCTGCAGGAATTGACTCAATCCTTGGGAGATGTCTAAAGTTACCATTAGAATTGTTGACATTGATGCATAATAATAGATGCCTGTCCCAGGAGATACCAATGCTAGTATCTTTTTCTTCCACCTTCTGTTCTGATTCATCAAACCCTAGGTATCCCAGTCTTAACTTCCCAACTACCATATCAATGCTTTTACTATTTTCTTAAGTGATGCTATGTGTAATTAGAAAAGAGTTAACATTTACATCATCAGGTAGACTTGAAAAAGCATATAATTCAGACCTATTTGAATTGATTTTGAGTGGCCTTAGTATTTGTCCTTCTTTGGAAAGGACCGATAAATCCACTTGCTAATTAAAAACACTATCTATGAATAGGCAGATTTCCTTAGGGAAACCACGAGACATATCTGAGTAAGTTTACACCCCGCCCCCCTTAAAACACACACATGGATGTGTAAAGAATATCTGAGCAGTATTTGTTCATTAGTGCAAGTTTATAAACATGGTTCACATACAAACACATTAACATCTGCCCCTTTAGCCATACCATGAGGGGATCATTTTCATTGTTTTGTGAACCATGTCTGCTTTGTGTCATATATAAATGCCCTGTTCCTAATTTCACAAGGTAGGTAGGGAAGCATTGGGTCAAGTTTATGCCTGCTCCCAAACAGCGTGCAAAATGGTGCACATCTGTTTTCTTAAGACCTTTTGCTTTTCTGCCGGAGAGAAATTAAGCAGCCTATGACATATCATGGCATCACATGATTTATGAAGGGAAAAATATCAAGAGAATAAATATGCATGAGCCCAAACTGAGCCATCGTAAGTTGGTTTATGAGAGTGGCCCTCACTTTGTGCAGTGGTGCTAGCCTCTCTACTTATCATGAGTTTTCCTAAAGTCCGTGGGCTAGAGAACAGCCTCTCAAAGGCCAACTGATTGCCTGGAGTATTTTAAAGGTGATGTTTTCTTTCTTCCTACAGCCAAGGATTACTGCAAAGTAATATTTCCATATGAGGCACAGAATGACGACGAATTGACAATCAAAGAAGGCGATATAGTCACTCTCATCAATAAGGTAAACAAAGGTTCTCCCCTGCCGGGTCAACTGGGAAAATGACTTCTACAGGTATTGACTGTAGAAGGACAACTTTTTGCTTTAGCCTTTGAAACACTTGGTTTCCGTGGGCCCACAGTGAGTATCTTTTCAGGGGATCAAGCCAAGCCCTGGGAATTCAGGCAAATAGGCTTGTGGACAAGTGAACAGATTCACTTTGCCTTGGGCCAGTCACATGTTTCTGCATGGCCTTGTGGAAAACATCAGTCCCAGAAAGGATAACCCAAAGGTGGCCTGCTTGGCTGGAGCCCTGCCCTCCAGAGCAGCCTTGCTTTAAGGCTCTGTGTCAATCAGTGTCTAAGGAAGGGCTTTGGAACAGCAGGCCATGCTTCACATGCTGAACATACTCGGAGAGTGTTTGCTGGCTCTTCTGAGCGAAGGCTGGTGGCATCCTCAGAGGATCACTCCTGTTTTGTTTGGGCTAAGAGGGTTGGATGGTTTTATTATCATTACAGGCAGACCCCTGTAAACATGGAGACGGAGAGCTATAAAAATCCATGTGGAATGTTTATGCTTTCTTACAGTGGTGCTCTCCAAGTAAGTGGTTGAAGGATGTATTACTTAAGCGAGTCCTGGAATTACGTGGCTTTTCTCTGAAGTACAGGATTGTTATGATGGTTGAATATGATGACAAGTGGTACAGTTTAAGGGTGTATGGTTTTATTCTTGTATCTGGTGAGTTTTGAACTGTGTCTGGGAAGAAGTGCAGTCAGAATGCTCCTTAGAAGCAAGGATGGCAAAATTTCATCTTATATACTTTAGACATGTTGTTTAGACCAGTCCCTGGAGAAGGACATCATGCTAAATAAAGTAGAGGGGCTGCAATAAAGAAGGCCCTCACCAGACCTCAACCTGGTGTGCCAAGCAAGAGAGAACGAATGAGAGAGAAAGAAAACGAACTGTGTCCTGGTTCACCAAGCCTCGAGGATGACATTCCTGCTCAGAGCAGCCAATGCACCGAGAGGACTGTAGGCCTGCCCCACCATCAGACACAGTGTCCCTTCACTGACCCATAGTGCTATGGGGACAGCACTGGAGACACAGTACAAGAATTGTACCTAGTCTTCTCTTCCCGCCCCCCCCAGGTCAAAACACAAAGGGAGCACAACAGGAGATCAAGGGGAGCAAAGCAATGAAGTCCCCGAGGAATCCCAAAAACAGACTTCAGGGGCAGGGCTTGGCATCCCATCAGACCGTATTGGAAAGCATTCATAAGGGTCAACAGACAGACCTAGGACTATTTATAGGCTTTTTTTCCCATGTCTATCTATATAAGATAGGCAGGATAAACAATCCCGAGGAGAAAACAACAGGACTGACTGTTCTGGGGGTGGGGCATGGGAGAGGGGAGGTGGGGCAAAGGGAGGGCGGAGCCAACAAATCCAGGAACAAGGGACCAAGTGATCTAAAATCAATGGCAAGGAGGGCGTAGGATGCCTGGGAGGGGTTGATCAAGTCCAATGTAACTGAGAGGAATTACTGAGAGCCGAATGAAGGTTGAACATGATAGGACAGGAGGAAAGTAAAAGGAAATAGAAGAAAGAAGTAGGAGACAAATGACATTTATAGAGGTATAAATGCAGGCATGTACATATGTAAATATATTTTTATATAATGGTAGGGATATAGGTCTAAATATATACATTTATATTTTAAATATAAAGGTAGCGACAGACATTGGGGCTCGACTCAAGTCCTCCCTCAATGCAAGAACACTTTGTTCTAATAACTTGGCATTCTGTGATGGTCACCTTCCTGACACAATCACTGAAGACAAAATGGATGCATAAACAAACGTGGTGAAGAAAGCTGATAGGGCCTGGCTATCACAAGATATTGTGTCTGGGGTCTTAAATGCTTGAAGATAAACAAGCGGCCATCTAGCAGGGAAGCAATGAAGACCATATGGAAGAAGCACACCACCTTGTGTGATCATGAGGTGTTGACAGGATCAGGTATCAGGCAACAGAAGACCCAAAACAAACAGTCATATCGATACGAAAGAGGGGGGCCAGAGTGGAGACCAAAGCCCATCTGTATATAATTGGGCATCCCCTCACAGAAGGGTCACAAGGAAGGGATGAGCCAGCCAGGGTGCAGTATAGCACCACCAACACACACATTTCTCTAGTTCTTTAAAGCTTCCTCCCTACCCCCACCCCCACCATCATGACCCCAGTTCTATCTTACAAATCCAGCTAGACCAGAGCCTGTACACTTGTACAGATAAGTGTTCTTGACACACAGAATCTAGGACAGATTAACTCCTCAGGAAAAATAATGGGAGTAGCGATACCATGTGGGTAGGGGGAAGGTGGGGGGGAAGAAGGGGGAACTGATTGCAATGATCAACATATAACCTCCCCCCACTCCACCAGGGTGATGAACAACGGAAACATGGGTGAAGGGAGATAGCGGATGGTATAAGAAATGTAAATAATAATAATTTTTCATGTATCAAGGGCTCGTGAGGGTGGGGATAGGGGAGAGGGCCAGAAAAAAAGGAGCTGATACCAAGGACTCAAGTAGAAAGAAAATGATTTGAAAAGGATGATGACAACATATGTACAAATGTGCTCGATACAGTGGATGGATGTATGGATTGTTGTAAGGGCCCCCAATGAAATGATTTATTAAATTTTTTTAGAAAAGGCCCTCAAGAAGATGAATTGATACAGTGGCTGCAACAATGGAGTTAAACATAATAAAAATTGTGAGGATGGTCTAGGACCAGGCAGTGTTTGTTTTATTGTACATAATGTTGTTATGAGTTGGAACCAACCCCTTAGCTTCTAACAACAACAAAAACATCCAATGAGTGGCAGGACTCTATAATTCCCTCGGCACAAGTGTTACTTGGGCGTCATCACGGCTGCCTGCGCAGATGTAGTGAGAAAGGAGGCGGACAGGGGAGGGCATGATGGTGGGGGGAGGCCCAGGAGCCCACTACCGTGGCCATTACTAAAAAGGAGAGGCCACGGTGTTGCCACACCTCTGCCCAAGGCTTACTTTTATAATCAGGGATGGTTACTTCCCCAAAGGGTTTTAGAGGCTGTGTGTTTTAAGTGCCTGACTTCAGAGATGCTGGAACTAATGGCTATTGGCCTTAGGTGCTTTCAAGCTCGTCTCTGACTCATAGTTGACCTTATGTACAACAGAACGAACCCCTGCCCAGTCCTGCACCATCCTCTCCATTGTTCTCATGCTTGAGCTCCTTCTCACAGCCGCTGTGTCCATCCGTCTCAACTGCCAGTGAGCCAGTTCCAGCTCGTAGAGACAGGGTGGGCAGAGTAGAGCTGCCCTTGTGGGTTTCCTGGACTATAACTCTGTACGGGAGTAGAAAGGCTCATCTTTGTCCTGTGGGGCAGCTGGTGAGTTCGAACCGTGGACCTTGTGGTTAGTACCCCAACATGTAACCTATTACGCCATCAAGGCATTTGCCTTTCAATGGATAATAGATGTACCAGTGTACCAAGTGGATCAATAATATTTCATTAGGTTTAGGACAAAGAAAACCACTGCCACCATATAAGCTGTGGTCTCACTCAGACACATCTGTTTCTGCCGGATTAGATTATCCACCAGTTCCTGGCCTTTAGCATGATAAGAACATGCACCATGATGAGAACACATTCGGCTTGATTATTTTGTCCCTCAGCCAGAAGCCTTATACAAAGTGTCTGATTTATATCAAGGTTGTGGCCATTCAGGGACTCTTCGAATCCCTTCCATGGAGGAGGGAAAGCAAGCAGGTGCAAGAGAAAGGCTGCCATCACCTTCCGTAGGTGACACCAGAATCTCCCGGTCTAGTCGATTTGTATCTTTATTTATTTCTTTTTGATTTGTATATTTAAAGCAGTTTGGAAATTGTAACACAGCCAGCAGATAGTTATACAGAATTTCCAACACACGAACTGGTCTTGGTTCCTTGACTGGCTTGCACACAAGTGCTGCCCCTTAAGCCTCAAATTCCCATATCATTTTGCCACTTGGCCCCCTGGGTCCCACCTGTCCCTGCCCTGAGCAAAGCAGCCCTAGAACTGGCAGGCCCTTTCTTCCTAAGCTTTCTCTACTAACAGCACGCTCCCCCTCCCGCCCATGGCTTTGCTCAGTCACCCCTCGGCTCAAGAACCATCTTTAGTAACTTCCCTTTGCTTTATTGTAAAACCCAGGTATATTCCCCAGCTCACATGTCCCAAGCAGTCTGCCTTCCTGGCCTGAGTCCAGGTGGCTGTTCTTCATGTATCTCCTCAGTATCACCCACGTGCCATTGGGCATGGTAATCTGAACCATAAAGCACAGGCCTTGACACCAGCCTCCCAGGCTGTCATGCGGATTTATTGAAACACTGTGTATGAAGTGCCTGGACCCTAGGGACTGCTGCTTCTCCTCGGGTTGCTCTTTCTCAGACCTCGGCTTCCTGGCAATGGAGGTGCTCTTAGGCCTGAGCCCAATTTGCTGCTGGAGAAAATGATGAAAAGGCCACTGAAAACCGCTAAGGAAGAATTCAAAGTGGGGGGAGGGGTTCAGAAGAAGTTAGAAAGCGAGCTTTGTTGGGGCTTTGCCTGCTGAAAGTGAGGGAGGTGGGGTCTGAGTTGATAAACCGCTGCTGACATTGAAGAATAGTCTTACCTCCTCCCCGAGAGAGGAGCAGCCCAGAAGTTCACAGAGGTGCCTGTGAGTTATTACTGTTGTAAAATGAAGAGTGGTGTGTGTGCATTTCCATATGGATGAGTTGAAGGGAGTGACCATACTCTAAATTCAGTTGTTCTTGCTTGAAAGCTTTCTCAAGTGGGCACGAATTCCACCCCCTGTTGGCTTTTGGTAGTTAGTTACCCAGGGACATTTCCTTTTCCCTGCTCTTTTTGGCACTATGCATTGGACTGTAATCCTCAAGTTCAACAGTTCGAAACCACCAGCTGCTCCTTGAGAGAAAGGGCTTTCTACTCTCCTAACGAGTT